ATTGTACAGAACAAAAAACGATACTTTATGTAGACGTGGCGGAAGCGCCTCCACAGCGTCAACAACTAGCTCAGTCGACTCCCTGGAGGCCCGTCCAACGAGTCCGCGTGCTGACAACGCGGTATACCTACAAGAATAACGATTCACCAACAACAAGCACACAAACATTCCAGCTGCTTGGGTGAGCTTTTCAAACTCCAAAAGTTTCTTTCCAACCGATTCTTGTCCAAAATGCCTACCTTATACATCTAACGTTAGAAATCGGCAAACTCTTCAACGCAATTTCCACGAAGTCATGAATCCGCTTGTTGATCTTCCCAATCGAATGTAAAGTTTAACCGGGGTGGGAGTTTAATATTCCCTAATACCCTTGTTGATCTTCCCACTTGAATGCAAAGTTTAACGGGGGTGGGAGTTTAATATTCCCTAATACCCTTGTTGATCTTCCCAATTCAATGTAAAGTTTAACGGGGGTGGGAGTTTAATATTCCCTAATACCCTTGTCGATCTTCCCAATTGAATGTAAAGTTTAACGGGCCTGGGCGTAGTAGTAGTAGTAGTAGTAGTAGTAGTAGTAGTAGTAGTAGTAGTAGTAGTAGTAATAGTAGTAGTAGTAGTAGTGGTGGTGGTGGTGGTGGTGGTGGTGGTAGTGGTAGTGGTAGTGGTAGTGGTAGTGGTAGTGTTAGTGTTAGTAGTAGTAGTGGTAGTCGTAGTAGTAGTAGTAGTAGCAGTCGTAGTAGTAGAAGTAATAGTAATAGTAATAGTAGTAGCAGTAGCAGTAGCAGTAGCAGTAGTAGTAGTAGTAGTAGTAGTAGCAGTAGTAGTAGTAGTAGTCGTCGTAGTAGTAGTAGTAGTAGTCGTCGTCGTCATAGTAGTAGTAGTCGTAGTAGTAGAAGTAGTCGTCGTAGTAGTAGTAGTAGTCGTCGTCGTCGTCGTAGTAGTAGTTCTCATAGTAGTAGTAGTAGTCCTCATAGTAGTAGTAGTAGTAGTAGTAGTAGTAGTTGTAGTAGTAGTTGTAGTTGTAGTTGTAGTAGTAGTAGTAGTAGTAGTCGTAGTAGTCGTAGTCGTAGTAGTCGTCGTCATAGTAGTAGTAGTCGTAGTAGTAGTAGTAGTCGTCGTCGTCGGCGTGCTTGCGTTACAAACAGTCGCACCTTCTCTTGCCTCTCCCTCCTGTCTTTTCCCCCCTACCTTTCGTCCCCCCCCTCTCAAGTTGTTTCGAAGAACTTCCACAGTGACTGGTCCGTTGGGGGTTGCCGCGGCCATGAACAAAACGCAGGTTGTTCTCGGTCGATTTAGGCATTCCCATGTTCCGATCCAGATCGTGCAGGCCATCAAGCGGCCACTGTGCCCCTGAATGAAGAAATCTTGGAGAAGGCCAGCAGTGCTGTACCGGTGCTCCGCTCATGTGATATTTTTAGGGCTTATTATGGTATGATGATCTGGAAAAGTACAACCCATCACAAGTTAAACTCAACTACATACATCATGGTACTGAGAATTGCATCCTGAAGTTACAAAATGTTGATGGTTGAAGCAGTGAAATCGGAATTCATCAAATTGCCATGGATTTTCTTGCTGATTCCTGAGCCATGATTATAATGACCATCGATTTTTAAGTGGTTGGCCATTCTGGGCTATGGCTGACAATTTAAGTGGCTATGTATCAGGGGTTGCCTAAGCCAACACTTAGACCACGCTATGGGACTGTTTGACCTGACCGGCTCAGCCCGGCAGATCCAACAGCTGAGTGCCGCCAGGTGGAAGCGCCAGGTGCGCCGCTGAGTGCGATACCGAGAAGGTCACTAAAGAGCGCCACTAAGTTCTTGGTAAACAGATTGTCCTTACTTAACTTAAACTCTTGTATCTACAATCTTTGTGAAGGTAAACAGCTAAGAGATGGCCATCGATAAACAGATGTTGTATACACCTTTGTGCTTGGCACATCGTGGCACTGATTACAGTAGTCGAAAACCATCGAAAACCAATAGGCAACATAGGCAACCAACTGCGTGGATGCATCCGTGTTGATCACTACCAGCAGGTTCCTTTCCAGAGATCAGAGGTTTCGAAAAGTGACATGGTAGAGTCTACTTTCTCAATGTTTGAGTCTACTCCCCGAGATGGTTTGGTCCGTTGTCAATTTGCATGGCCTCCCCCAAATTCACTTGAGTGATCAAGCAAATAGCAGCAAATTCAATTGAAGTATACTTCGTGCTTTCTTAAAACATTCCCAGAGGCCGTGGCTCTTGATGTTTTTCGTCTGTCAGGGAAACCCGGGCAAGATGTGTGAGTCACAACCTACGCACCAGACTGTATTGGTCTAAAACCCCCTCTTCGAAGTCCTCTTCTTCCCAACCTCAGACTCTGCATTCTGATTAATCATCACAGTCACGGTTGCTCCCATTATCAGCATCAGCTGCATTGTCAGCATCATGGTTATTGTTATCACTTCAGTCGCCATCGCTATCGTCAACGTGATCTTCATTTTCATTGCTCTGCGTTGATGTTCTTGTCTTCCCGTTTGTCGGCGTCATCAATGTTGCTGTCGTCATCGTAATTGAGACTGTCATTTGCATCATCATTATCTTGCTCTCAAGACCGAAAGGAAAGATGAAATTGGAAACTGCTGTATTAAATACAGTGCCACCTGGCTTGCAGGGTGAAGCATGCGCTGGATTTGCCACGAAAACCGAGACCATGATGGCCAAGTTACAAACTTCGCCGATTTGGCCCCTTGGCATTTGCTTGGTTTGATTTTAGGTTTCGTATGGTTTCGTGAGGTGCCCCGAATTAGCCAGGTCGTTTGGACGGATACAGTAGCTGAGATGATCTGGAGAATGAAGATTTGCACCATTTTGCACCCCTTCACTGCCTTCACTGCTGCAGTGGGGCCGAGGCATGAAAATCCCACGGCCTCCGACAGATGGCGGAAGTGGTTGAAGGCAACATTTGCACAGCTTCGCAGAGCTGGTTTTGAGTTGTTCCAAAATCTTCCAGTTGTTTGGTTTTCTTTGGATGTTTTCTTTACAGGTGTTGGTTGTCTTGACATGCCGGGGGTCACCCTCTCAACTGTTCAACAAAACAACCAGCTGACGTGTTCCAAGCTTCCCACAAAGCAGAGCCAATGGCCAAAGACTGCTGTCACTGGCGAATGCAAAAGTGCTCATGAGCTGCTCATACGTGGGTGGAAGGATGTGAGATGTGGAAGCTCCTATGAACCGAGCTACATACAGGAAAATCAGAGCATCAGCATTGGCGCACCACTCTTTGGTTTATCAACACATCCTGTGATACCGTGATACCCCATGACTGGGTGGACAACACCAAACGCAATTAGGGTCAGTGTTCGCAATGCTCTTGTTCTTTGCACTCCTCAACTCTTCGAGCTGTACTCTTCATTTTTCTGTTCATATAGAATTTGGTAGGATTTGGATGGATTTGGTACTGGTAGTAGTTCAGTTGTTTGAATCATTTTTTTTTCAATTGGTGGTTCTGGGTGGTGCTTAGATGCCGCAGACTGTCGGAAGGTTGCAGCAGGACTGTAAAACAGAATGAGCAGTTCAAACTGAGTTCAGACAATTCAGCGGTGAAAAGCTAATGCCAGACTGTTCGACTTCAGAGCTTGTAGCTACCTAAGCCTAAGCAGTTTGAACTTGTGCAGCATTCTTCGTTATTTTCTTTGCTGAGGCAACATTGCACACCTTAAACCAAACAGATCCAACCAGAGTATACTTTCTGATCAGAGTTATGCCACAAGATGGATCTGCAGATTCCTGTCAGCGCTTTGAGTCAAATATTTTCAGGCACGACGGCATAGTTTGGCCGGATCCGTGCAGTGCACTGACCTGATTTTGTTGGTGTTTTCTCGCTGGGACATGCCACCATTTGGGGAATCTATAGGGAATACGTTTTATTTGTTTAGAGCCCCTTGAGCAAATCCAAACTCATTTGAAACTGTAAAGCTGGTGTGAAACTTACTCCACCAGCGGTCGTGGAGCCATCCAGAAAAGACTTTTCTTTTCTATTCTCCATTTCTCTCGCTTTCATTTCTTATCATTGATTGCCCCTCAATGTTTGGTCATTTTGATGCTTGTGACAGGCGAGAACGATGCAAACATTGTGGTCAGCAATGGCATGCGTTTGGAGCACAGCTGTCAGCATACCCCACGTTGACACTCCGAAACACAACTGAGCTGGACCAAGCTGTGAGGAACATCAGGAGGCATCTTTTGGGGCATCGGGGCACCACCTTGACCCTTTTCATCCTTGAAAAAGTAGCTCTCACATGCTTTCAGATTTCTTTCACATGTTTCTGAAATTAGTTGCATCGATATTGGTTGCATTTGCATCAATGCTTTCACACTGCAGATATGCTGCATCAGATCTCACCTTCTGAGGCACAATGAAAGTGCAATCGATGCGACACAGCTTGCCACTTTCCGCCAGGCCGGCTCGATGGTCCAATCTTTACATTTCATGTAACATGCTGACAGATCCTGACATATCCTGAGATTATCGCAAATCTATGCGATGTATTCAAACTATTTCAAACTATTACATATGAAAGTTATAAGAACCACATGAATTTGTAGGATACATTAAGCCCCCACCTGACTCTCATACAGATACACAATTTATATTTATTCTATCATGACATGGCTTTCATAGCCAATACAGGATCACAGAAACATACCTTTTCTTGGTGCGTCTGCCAGGCCAAGAAAGCATCGGCATCGGCAGGATTGGCAGCTTCCAGTCAGGAGAAGGGGTGGTGAGTCGACCCATGGGATCTGGGCACCGAATGATATGAAGATGTTTGAAGATGTTTGAGTCATGCTGATGTCAATTTTGGGGTTTTCTTCAAGACATGCCATCCTTGGTGTCAGTTGTGATATGATATGAAGATGATTCATGGTTTATGCACGATTATATAATATGTTTGCCTCCAGCTTTGGATATTTTGATGGCTTGGAGGATCATTTCTTTGATGAAATGTTGTGAGGCGAAGCCGAGAAAGGTTGAAAGTCGTTGCGAATGGCTCTACGATGATCCAGTGCAGGCCATTGTGCAATTGATCAAGCTCCCAATGTTCAGCTTGAGTACGGTATCAACATAGAAGACTAGAGAAAGCGGAGTGGTTAGGGCCATTCTGTCAGAATTACCATGAATATCCATGAATAATCACGAATGTTTTAAAGTAATATTATTAAACCCATGTGATGCACCCTTGGTTTCTGCATGGGCATCCACAGTTTGCACAGGTTGAGTCTTCATCATTCTTCTCTTTTGGGTCGCCAGGAGGATGAAGCCTGCAGCGACTCTGGAGACGAAGGCTTTCGAATGTTCGCTGGCCAGGAGGGTTAACGGCTGTGGATGGCTGTGGCATGAGCAGCTGGAATCAAGATACTGCTCGACTGGATCCTGCTGGATCCTGTAGACTCGGATGTACTCGGAAGTACAGAGTTTTACCATGTCTTGCCAACTTGCCAATCAATTTCTCAGTGAGTTCTGTTTTTGCTGCTGATATTTGCCATATTTGTTATTTGTTGGAACTGCTTCCATGCAGGAGCTGCATGCTTTCGGAGGTGGGTCAAGCTCGACCTCATCTGTGAAGGCAGGATCATGCAGATTTTGACTACGGTGGGGCAGCTGACCTATAGCTGCATCACGCTGCACGAGTCGCTGCAATAGATCGAAAGCATCAAATGACACGAATGGACCATCGCTATCAGATCTATCAGAGAAGCCAGCAACTCCAAGCCATGTTCAATCATTTTCACATGATTTCACATGTCATTACTAGATATTACTAGTGCAATCTGTGATTCTTTTGAATCTCTTGAGCCAAGAGGTGTCCAATCTGTGATCCCTGCTGCATCCTGCTGCATCCTGCTGCATATTCCGAGTGCCATGCAGATTGTGAACCTGGTTGACTTCGAGGAGTGTAATCCGCCTGCCAGCCCGCGTGCTCGGCTCAGTGGGATTCCCATGCAGCACGCAGCTGATCTACGGTAGAATCTACGGCTTCCAACTGGTTGCTGCAGCATGCTGCAGCGGGCTCTTGTTCAAGGTCATGTCAGAGCTGCCAGTCCCTCTTCCAGAACAGCTCTGGTTACGGTGGGATCAGGGAGTCTCCGAGTCGCGAGTGGAGACAAGCTGCGATTGTGGAGTCTTCAAATCTTGACTCAATTCAATGTGCAGAATAATAGTAATAAATTGTAATTATATAATACTATTGCCTTCTGGGGGTATACACCGAATGTATGCCAACAGGATCCAACAGGGAAGTACCATACTCACTACATTGACATGGAGATTGATTAATTCAAAAGATTGGCTGCAAGACCACCTGCTTGTTGTACACTTGCACGGAACACCTATTCCAAGCAGGTATCTTTAGCTTGCCAAGGTGGTGTGCTCAGAATGGATGACATATGATGAGACAAATGACAATCCATGGATTCAAATCCTGGCGATCCATGATCGATGGTGGTCCAAGAGGAATTCGGAGTTGATTCTGTAGAGATGATATTGCAGAGGCTGCCGAACATCTCAAAACATCCTATCTCGCGTTGTGGTAGAACACCTCGGCAACCGCATTCCACGCATTGCATTCCAGTCACAGTCCGGTTTTGCGATGTTTTGAGGTGCTGCTTTGCTAGGGTCTCAGCTCAGAATTTTCATCCTCCCGGAAGTAAATCGAAGAAAGATAGCGAAGACACAATTTTGCTATTGCGAAGTGCTTTTGTGGTCTTTGAAACGCTTTCATCCCTGGTTTTTTTTGCTCATCCTGAATTTACGGAAACTGCTGTGGCAGACAGATGAAACCAATCTTTCGAATGCCTATGTGCAGCACATGTGTCACACCGCCACGCAAGTGGCCACCAGACCACCAGGCCGAGATTTGGCCTTTGTCCAACGGAGCTGGAGAGTGCGACTGCGGCAGGTCATGTGGATTAGACAATGGAATCAATGCGGATATCGAGGTTATAGACGATGATAGACAATGGAGCAGACGATGAGTAGAATACGCAGAGATACGTAGACTAATCATGTCAATGTCAGGAGGCGATGAAGTGAAAGAGCGAGAGAGAGAGAGAGAGAGAGCATGGTATAGAATGGTATAGAGGTCAGGATCCTGTGCCATGTTTTGCATCGTTTTGCTATATGTTTTGCTTAGCTTTGCTTACCTCTGATCAGCCGTAGGGATCTTGAGATATCGAAAGTGGATGGGATTAACTGATGAACTTTGCTTTTGCTGCCAATTTTGGGCTCTCTTGACGTGCTCCAGAAGAGCCCGGACGTCACTGAACAAAAACTGGCCTGGGAACCCAAATTTTCCAAAGCAATGCATTCGTTCGAGCCATCGCCTGCTGCCAAATGCCGCTGCGTGACTGCCGCAACCAAAAGCCTGAGCACGCAGGATTTCCAATCTCACTGCCATGTTCAAGGGGTGCGGAAGTCTTCGAATCTGTGGGATTTGTGGGGGCGGAGAGCTGAAACCTTCAGACGAAACGATCAAAGAAACTTGAGTCAGAGGAGCAGGTGCAAATACCGCAGCTGAGGAGCGGAAGCCAGCTCAATTCAAGAGAAACAATGTGGATCAATGTGGCGAAGCAAAGCGGCATACCGCATATCCTGTGGAAGGGACAGGTCGCTTAGGCCGAGTCGCAGTCCGAGGCCGATGCTGCAGCCCTGAGGCCGTCAAGCCCTTCCATGCAGAGTTGGTGAAGAGCCAAAAGAGCCAAAAGATCCAAAAGATCCAAAAGTGGCAGGTGCAAATTGCTCTGGGAACTCGCGGCGGCTCGAATTTTCTCGGCAGCTTCACCGAGAAGGCAGCGGCTGAGGGAAAGGCCCCAGCGCCAGGTGAAGTCTGATACGCCGGATTGCCAGTGGGCAGCAATGGCAATGCCACGTTGGCGGAGCAAAGAGAAATTTCAGGGTGAGGTCAAAGAACCACTCGGAGGCTGAGCTGGAGCGTTCCTTGGCATGGAGAAAGAACCAGGAGAAGGAGAAGGAGGGGAAGCCCAAGGCGAAGCCCGGGAAGAAGCAGCGGACACTCCGGAGAATAAAGTGTGCTGTCAAGTGCTTGAGTGATCTTAGGCGTGTAGATGCACGTAATTAGTGTAGTGTTTCAGCAATAGGCTCATGAGTGATAATTGATCATTATTGTGCAGTTGTTGAAAAGACAACGCGGGCGCTCAAGTCATGCAAGAGTTGTGCATTAAATTAACTCATGCACTGCAACAGCAACATGGAAATCGATATACACATACACATACACACACATATTATATATATTATATATATATTATATATATATATTAAGAGTATATAAATCAATGGAATTTCTTTCAACCGTTGGAGGAGCAGCGCCTGGCTTCACAATGCCCATGAGGTGGAGTGGGCACCAGATGGCACCAGATGGCACCAGAGGCTCTCCGAGGGTGGAGAATGGTGGAGCCTTCAGCGTCCGCAGGTCCAAGGATGATGTGTTGCTGGAAGAAATCCAATTCCTGCGTCAAATGCTGGCGGACTGCAATGAGGAGAAGAGAATCCAGGCAGCAAATGCTGTGTAGCAGGGCAATGGATATCAGTGGTGTGCTATGTTTGCTTTGGGTCAAGATGAAGATGGCATGATCTACCCTTGTCAACAGCTTGTCAATGTATCTCCAGACTTTGTCATTGATTGGTGTTTTTTATTTTTACGGGATAGTAATTAATACTGTTCTTACTCCCCTGTAAAGTGTGCCCTGTAGTAGTTGTACATTGTCTGACATATTATGGCTCAAGACAAAAACAAGTGCGTTGCTTCCTGGTTGATCGTGGCTGTGTTGCCTATATAAATAGGTTATCAGCCGTATCGCCAGATACGTTCCCTTGTAACTAAATATCTGCCCCCTCTGGAAAACCATCTCCGGAGGGCCCGCGCAATTCCGGGAATACGCAAGCCATGGCTACTCGGGATGCAGACGATCGCCAGACTGAAGTTGACACGACGAGTCACATTACCTCTCAGACTCCTTCGGAACGCTCTCGGAGTGACAAACGTGAAGTCAGAGCCCCGCTCCCACCAGGCGCTGTTATGCCCCAAAGTGGAGCACCAAGGTTTTCGCACCGTGGCTATGATTATCACGCATCCCGGGAGGGCATGCCTGCCGGCTCACATCATGTACAGTCGAACAAGCTTGAGGTTCACCATCATGAGATGACCGAAGTAAACAACACCATGAACCTTCAGCAAGTCCAAAAGAACGAAGTGTACGTGAATGCACATGACCCTGCAATTACACAGATGGTTGAGCAGGTTGCTGAGGTACGCCATCGAGAGGCCATGGCCAACACAGAGAGCATGATGCAATCGATGGTGTCCGAAATGAGTGGCAGGTTCCATGCAGAAGAACAAGCTGCGAGTGCCCGGATGCAACAGATGATGTTGCTCGCAGAGAGTCGGGAGAATCAATTCCGTGAAGAACTGGCTCAACAAGGGGAAATGTACAAAAGGGTTTTAGACGGAAATGCCAGACAGTCGAATGCAACGAAGGAACAACAATTCCAATCGCTCAGGGATCATTATGAACGCCAGGATGAACACCGTAAGATGCAGATGTCCCAACTTGAATCCATCATCAAGCAACAAAGTGAGCAAATAAAGGCCCAACAGTTGCAAACCGAATCCATGAACATGAGGATGAGTAAACTCCTTGACACAATAGGCCCAATGCCAATTCCAATTGTCCAAACCGCCACTGCCGTCATACCGCCGTCCACTGAGGTCAAGTACTCAGCACCGTTGCCGTCATTTGCATCAGCAAGTGCACCCAAACCAGCGGAACCCAACCAAGATATATGGGAAATGCTTGACCCGGAAGGAAATGCACCAGTGGATAATAAGGATCCTGTCTCTGAGATAACCGGTCTTAGGTCCCCAACGTATCCCCCAACAAGTGTTGCACCATCGGATGCCGGTGGAAAGCCACCAGGGCCTGACCCTCCAGATGATGACAAGGATTCACAGGCAGATCGCGACAGCAGGCGTGGTAAGGACAATCGTGGGAAGAAGCCCCCTCCGGGGAGCCGACGCCCACCGGGAGGTGGGCCTGGGGACGGTGATGATGATGATGGAGACGGGGATGGGTATAACTCTGATGATAGTGACCATCGATTCATCCGTCGCATGAGAGCCATGTTCGGCAGCTCCAGGGATCAGTCACATGAAAAGAACAAGGTCAAAGAAGCCGACACCGTGAAAGTTCCAGCTTTTCCCCATGCGGAGTCATACAGAAATTGGAGGATTCGCACAAGGGAAGCTGTAATGTCAGCATCTACTGACCCTGATAAAGCATTTGATTGGATAAGTGAGACCTGGAAAGAAGGCCAAACAATTGGAACTCTCCGTGACGTAGGCAAGTTCACCACACTGGATGCCAAGTTACTGTCCGCGCTCACCAATATTCTCACAGGTGATTTTGCAAGAAAGGTTGACACTTACAAAGAGACAGAAGCAACAAATCATCGTTACGTGAGGGGCCGTCAAGTACTGTTTATGATGCATGAACATTTCAGTACAAACATCAAGCATGGGGCGACCTACTCACTACAGGATTTGTTCAGTGTCAAACTTAAGGGTGACAACCTACGCGGATTCATCAGCAATTGGGATCAAGTGATGGCTGGTATTCCCAAGATTCCTGAGATTAGCATTCTGGAGACTCTGTTCTTTAACCAAGTCAAAACCAGTAAAGCAATAGCACACGACTTGCAGGAATATCATCGTGCTGAGGATGGAACCGAAAAGAAGTCCTACGATTTCCTAGTGACAGCAGTTCGCCGCTACTTGGATAGGGAGCGACTCGAATCCAATCGTGAACGAGTTGCCAGGACCCTCGGTGCCTCGTCTTCCAGCGCAGCTCCGGCTGTGGGTGAGAAGACTGGGTACATTCCAAAGGGATACTGTGTCAAATGGAATAAAGGGACCTGCACGAATGATGCCTGCCCATTCAAACATGAAAAGCCTCCACCAAAGAAAGACAGAAGTCAATCACGACCCTCATCCGACCGTGGCAGATCATCGTCAAGGGGTAAGAATGACAAGAGCAAGAAGAAACAGCCATGCAAGTTTTGGAAACAGGGAAGATGCAACAGAGGCAATGACTGTAGGTTCAGTCACGAGGGTAAGCAAATCAAGTCTCCTCGTGCTGCCATTCCTGCCAGGCCTTCGTCCAATGACTCGAAAGGATCCAGACGGAGGAACAGCAGAAGTCCAGGAAAAGGCAGGGACCGCTCGCCAAAGCAGAAGGGATCAAGGAGTCCCAGGAACAGCCGCTCCCCAAAGGGGAATAGAGGCAAGCCTGACACTCCCAAAGCTTCCCCAGCAGCCGTCTGCCTGATTGCCTCGATGTTAGCATCCGTATCCAATGCATGCCTGATGCCACCCATTGACGTGATCAGCTGCCCAGCAGTGACATTCGACACTAATCACGATGTGTATCAAGTCATTGCCAAGGGGGACCTTGAGCCTATCAATCCAGCTTCAAGGAGATACAAGAGAACTTTTCCTATCAACTATCCATTTGATTTTGACCGAAGAGACGTAGAGGACGCATGTTTGTCAGCGAACATGTTGGCAGGAGCAGTCAAGAATTCGTTAATGAACAATGTCTGCAAATGCAACTATGAATGTGACACCATGTTTGGTTGTGATCACTGTATTCCAAAGGAAATAGTTGCAATGCCTGCCAAATCTGAGGAGTACGTTGATGGATGTTTCGAAGCCTCTATCGATTGGATTGTTGATACCGGTAGTGCACAAGATTTACTCACTGATCACCATGTGCCGGATCATTATGGTTATTTTTCCGATAATCCAATTCGTCTCATCACTGCAAATGGGGAAAGTTCATCTATGAAGCAGGGCAAGGTGAAAGTCCCAGAGCTGAATGCTACAGTATCACCGTACCTAGTGCAAAGTTCACCTCCTGTTTTATCAGTTGGTCTCAGGTGCGTTGAGGATGGGTTTGACTTCGTGTGGAGGGGCTCCAAGAATGAGAAGCCGAAATTAGTTTCACCTGATGGGAAGGTCATTGAACTTGAAGTCAGAGACTATGTCCCATATCTATGTTCCAAATCAAATCAACCAAGTGTGTCCACAGCGGCAAAATCCAGAAACAATGGTTCTCCCATGAAGAGAGTTAAAGTGATGGCTAGTTCATCAGGGTCCGAGTCAGGCTTCATAGAAGAGGAGGATTCTCCCCCGTCACCAGATCTTTACGACGAAGAATATGAAGATGACGAACCCGCAGTCGTAGGTGGTAATTCATCAAAGCTTGACGATGACCTTGTACCCGACATCTCAGGCGATCCCGGTGCTGATGCGCCCTCCGATGAAGAAGGCATAGCACCAGCTGACCGGGAGGTCCAGCCTGATGACGTTGATGATTCAAGGGATGAAGTCGGTCGTGACCCGGAAATGGAAAGACGTAGGGAGAGGGGTAAGGCCGCACTCAAGGCTGAAGCTAAGAGCAAACGACACATGCTTACCCATATTCCCAAGAATCCATACTGTGATGTCTGTACAAAGGCCAAGATGTACAAGCCGCCCGGTTACTCTAAAGGAGGATCATCCATGGTCGATGCAAAGAAGTTTGGGGATCATGTCACAGGTGACTACCTTATTGCCAAATCGGATCCGGAAACTGGTGTTGATGGAGATAGGGTCGCAATGGTACTTAAGGACGTTGCCACTGATTTTCGATATGTTTACCCCGTTGCACGCCGTGATACATCCAACACCACACTGGCAATGAAACATTTCGTTGATGACTTGGAGAAAATTGGAATCTTTTACAGTGATAATGCCCCTGAAATTGTTGCAGCTATGAGAGCTATGAAGATCAGGCATCAAATCAGTAAAGATTACATTTCAACATCCAATGCCATTGCCGAACGAGCCGTGCGGTCAACGTTGGAAGGAACGCGTGCTAATTTACTTCAAGCAGGACTTCACCATGGATATTGGCCTTACGCTGCCAGACATTGGTGCATCATGCATGACACTGCACCAGATGGGACTGGAAAGGACACACCATGGAAACTGAGGTTTGGGACAGACTTCGAAGGACCACTTATCCCGTTTGGATGTAAGGTGGACTATTGGACTGGACCTAGGAAGAAGCCAAAGAAACAGATGAAGTTCGAACCGACCACTGAACCTGGTATCTTCCTAGGGTATGTCATCCATCCCGGCTTCCATTGGAGAAAAGAATTTGCAGTAGCTTCTCTAAAACAAATCAATGATGCAGATTTTGACCAATCCGTCACAGTATTGAGGGTGTTAAAGGTTTCATGTACCTGAGAAGATTGAGTTTCCCTGTCGCAAACGTGCCGATGCCATCCGAGACGGTAGCTTGAAACCAAACCAGCTGTGTGATGAGCAGGATGCATTACCGCCACCGGAAGAGCAAGATGCTCAGCCTGTGCGGGAGCCAGGCCCAGTCAAAAGATCAATCACTGACATTGAAGCTGGACAGCCTGCACAACAATCCAGTGCATCCGCTGTTTA